CAGCCATCCGTCGGCGCCTCGATAGACTCACTGCGTCCGATGTACGTTCGTATTTTATTTAAATTTAGTTACCCGTTATTTAAAATAATATAATAATTTTTATAAATGCTCTTATGCAATTGTGAACATGTGCAATGGTTTCCATACGGCAGCTCCAGCCCAGATGCGATAGAGCCGAGGACTCTTTATAGCGGATTGATTCGATACCGCGATGTCGTCGAGTCGTACTTGCCTGCGCGGTGTCTGCGTCAGTTGGGGTATGTCCAGACTGTCCCTCCCCCTACATACCGGCGATTAGTGCAGTACGTGCTTGGGAGTCTAGGAACTACAGGGTTGAGCATTCTGAGGCTGCTCTGGGACGGTCAACACTGCTATGTTGACCCCCACCACACAGGATCGCGGGGAGGCGACTGAGGATTACCTGCAGTGGTACAGTCGGGTTTCCCATCCGACTCTCATGGGCTAGGAACTGCCGGACGAGAACGAGGTCCCTACGAGTGTCAATACCGCCTATGTAAGTTGGTTACTAAATTTTAATTAATGTTATTTCATAACAATAATTTTATTTTAATAAATTCCAGTCATATTTTTTTATTCTTTCATCTTTTTAGTGGGTGGACCGTCTTTTGGGCATTATATCGACCATGCAGTAGTTCCTTGTTGAATGTCCGTAGGCGGCGGAAGTCCAAGAAGATTTTGCTAAGTTTAAGTTGGATTACGACAATGCCCAATATCGATGTAATGAATGTTTTTTTTTTTTATTATTGTAAAACATTAAGTTGAATGATTTTTCTTTTATTTATTATTTGTAAAACATTAAGTTGAATGATTTTTTTTTATAGTATATAGTATTTTTAATACATAGTATATACATAACTTAAGTTCAATGAGAAGCGTCGTACCACAAGTGAATAATATCGTTCTTTTATTCAAGAAGGATTTTTTTGAACAGTAAACCACAATCGCAACCTAGCCTCGTACTGATCCTCCCAACCCACAACCGATTGATCTTGGTTATAGAACCACATGAAATGAATAGGTGGTAATGGACAATCAAGAGTCAAATCTAAACGAATGTAGTGTGCTACGGCACCAAGATGGCATATGGCCATCTCACGACATGGTCCTCTAGCCGATGATCGTGCACTGAGAGGCAACACTGTGGTGCTGAATAAGTCGTGCTGCCCACCTTGCGGACCAGAGCTCAGATGAACGACAACCGCATTAAATAGGGTCGCAACGGCGTAGAGGTCCTGCGGAACTTCGAACTAGTGAACCCGTCCACAAGGGCCGTCGGCCCACCTTATGCGACAAAGTCCGGCGTCGACATCTCTAAAATAGATGTACTCGTACAATTCACGGTGGCTGTCGACCTCCTTCGCAATGCTTTCTCTTGCATCTGCCCAGTACTTCTGGTGACCATACACGTGACTCGCGATGACCCGAATTCCGCAGTTACCATCCGCATCCACATTCAGGTAACTCACTATGTAGTCCAACATATGCCAGGGGATACTTTGCCACATTGAAAATCCAAATATATTTGTCGGTCTAAACTCTGCAATAAATATCATAATAATTTGACGTCACAATTTATATAATCATATAAATATTTAATTAACTCAGCCATATTTAAAAAAAAATGTTTGACCTTCATCCCCTTGTGACTGTTGAGAAGACGAACTTGTCTGTCCATGCGAAGAAGTGGTCGTACGGCTCGATTTCCGACCTCGCGATCTATTGTTGTACTCAAAAGCAGATGATTTACGCTTAGTTGAATTAGTTTTCTTGGGACGACCTCGCGGGTCATCCTTAACCTCAGGTTCCGCATAATCCTGTTGGTCTGGGTAAAGATGACTGTACATGAACTGATTCACGTACCGCATCGTCGCGGGATCGCGGGTTTCAACCTCACTCACAAGCGTCTGAAAGAACTCCGCATCTGACCATGCAGCGTGGCTCGCCTGACTGATGACCAGTCCCTACAAGTATACGATAAAAAAGTCAATGAATTAAACCAAATAATGTATTTTAATAGAAAATTATAAATAAAACATTAACCTTAATTTACCTTGCTCTAATATCTGGAGCGTTCTCCAGAACTGGTGAATCATTCCGAGATCAATCGGAATGTTGAAATCAACTGCGTTACGGAGCAGACAGGCACAAGGAAGTCCATCAGTGAGCTGCAATACACAGCCGCAGCTAGTGTAAACATCGGTGCCCAAGCCGTGCATCCTCGTAAGCTCATCGTCCAATAAACTCAGACAGTAATGCGAGACCCTCAGTATCACGCTCGTGAAAAGGATTCCCTTATACCGTGTATTCTTCTTAGATCTCGAGGCCTCAAGCGCCGTCCTGATAATACGTTACATAACATTAGATTGTAATTAATTAATGCAGTAATATAATAACGCATTTAAAAATTGCAGTACGTACTTGATTTCAGTCACTTGATTATCGATGTGCTTATTAATCTTCTGCCAAATTGTATCGAGCGCGCCGGTGGACGTCTGAAGCCACTCCTTCAACACAGAGTGGGCACTCTCCACCCTACTGGAAGTTGTGTTTCCAAAATGTGTCGCTCGGTTGGTCCAAGCCTTCACAAACTTCTCGCGATGCCCTAACCATGTGCGCTCCACATACCGTATCACCTCTAGGGACTTCGAATATTTTGCGTACAGCTCGGCAACGACATCGGTGTAGGCATCGAACGTACTGGCCTCTGCAATCGCCTTCCACGTACTGTGTGTGAAAATCTCCGAGAATTTCTTACTCTTCCCAAATAGTTTGTAGGTTCTGGCTTCCACATCCTTGTTGATGTGCCACGTGCAGAGTAAGTGGGCTGATTCAGGAAAATGCCTCTGAATAGGAGTGAGTAAACCCAACTCTCTGTCACTGACAACAATATAAGAATATACGTCTTGGCCTATCAGCAGTCTCAACTTCTCTAGAACCCAGTCGTAACTGGCCTCTTTCTCGTCCTGATGAGCGCATACGCAATTAGGAAGTTCTGGTTGCACGGTGTCATCCCAATCATCTCGACCAACGGCATCTTGTACCTGTGCAAATGAGACCAAGATGACAAAAAATATAATCAAATAAAAGTTTACTAAATCAAATACACTATTTAAGATTCATACTAATAAAGTATTTATAAAGTAACATACCTGTTGGTTTTATACGTGGAATATATGCCGACATACCAGTGATATGTCCGTAATAGATTGATCGACGCAGGATGGGCCATGAATATATGCGTCAACGCTTTCGTGTTCGGATCGGATTCTGCATAAACTGTATACTCGCTGCTCACGGCCAAATGCATAAGCTGGGAAGGAACGTCTCTACCGTCGAAACTCTCTTTCCGCAGCTTATCTCTAAAGTTATATACCTGTCACCAATTAACGTTAATTATAATGATTATTATAATTTAAAACAAAAAAGATTATTATATTAATAAATAAAAAAGTATATTAATGCGATTAATTTGATAAAAAAATTATTAACTATCACAATAATAATACATTAGTAAATATAATAAATTTTATTAATTATTACAATAACTTTTACATATAAACAATTAATAATTATAATAATTAACTTCAAAAAGTTAATTAAAACATATATTACAAGATATAAATATATATACCTGTCGCACATGAACGTTGTCTCCCGGATTCTTTTCCTTCAGCGCGGCCATAATTTTTGCCGGGGCCACCTGAGCGTCCGTCATATCACGAACAAATTTCTTAGATGAAGCGCTGAGGCCGCTCAACTGGCGATGACCCTCAGGATACACAGCAAATGTATGGTTATAGTAGCCTTTCTTTTCATTGCTACATCTACACATCCTCCAGTATGGAGCGCCGGACACCTCTTTTACTTTGATCTCAAAATTGCAGCCGCACTTATTCGTTTTTGTCTTTCTAGAATTTCCGCCTGTGCCTCTGTACCGTTCGCCTCTATGGCACTTCAAAAGCCTGACCGTTTTCTTTTTGTGGTTCGAAATTATTAATAGGAAACCATTCAGCATTGCCTGGTGTTTTGCAGCTTCAATAGCGTCATGAGCACTGTTATATAATGTACAGGTATCGAAACGCAGACTGTAATCAACACCATCTCCTCCAAAATCTTCCCATGACTCCTGCTCTATAGTACAATATTTATATTTTTAGAACATGTTAAATTAAGATAATTAATTTTAGCATGTAACATAATAATTTGTAACTCATAACATGATATTATCTAACGTCCAATTTATAGCATAATGAAGTCTAACATGTAACATAATAATTTGTAGCTCCTAACACGATCACGATAATATCTAACGTCCAATTTATAATATAATCAGCTATAACATGTAACATAATAATTTGTTACTCCTAACACGTTACTATGTAACGTCCGTCAATTTATAACATAACCAAGACTAACATGTAATATAATAATTTCTAACTCGTAACACGATAATATTTAACGTCCAATTTATATTATAATCAACATGTAACATAAAAATTTGTAACTCCTAACACGATAAACGTCCAATTTATAGCATAATCAAGTATAAAATGTAACATAATAATTTATAACATAATAATATAGTCTAATTTATAACATAATTATTTCAAATATATAACATAATAATTTAAAAAAAAAAAAAACATAATAATTAAAAAAAAAAAAAAAAATCGTTCGGCTGGCCGAACCGGTTCCGACCGGCCGTCGTTTTCGAACGGCCGGTTCGAACAGGGCCCGTCCGACCGGCCGGACTTTTCGGATGCCTTTTAGCCCGTCCGGTTCCGGCGGCCGGACGGACTAAAAACCGTCCGGTTCCGGCGGCAAGACACATAATTTTACGTATCTCCGAATTTGACGACATTTCACCGTGCACTTTCCTCTGAGATGTTTAGAAAAAATAAAAAGGGCAAAATCGTCCAAAGGGGCGGTGACTAATAAAATGGGGGCGGTCAATAGTAACGCCCAAAGTGGAAACCAATGTTTTGACCAGCCTCGAAGGCACTGGTGTCGTCAACCGATCACCATCAGAAGTAATTTCGAAGTACGTCGGCCATAAGAATAGTCCAACTTCTCTAGAATCCCTGTTTGGCGACGACGTCGTAAACGGACCACCGATCAATTCAAAGGACCGTCGCCCTTATGCCACTGCCTCTCGCTCAAATCTTCTCCTGCCGTCCACTCGGGGTCCTTTTCAGCTCAATCATCCGGGTGAGTTTATTTGCTTCATCATGAATATGAGTGTGCATGAGTTTCTGTGTTGTGGGATTATCATTGCTGTTGGATTGAATTCGTCAATTAGATCCCTTGATGGTGATCAAATTTGTTGTATTTGCTTGATCATCTGTGTGGCCACATCTCATTTAGATGAACAAAATAAGAAAGTTATGAGATGATAATAGCTTGAGGTTCGATGGCTATGTTTGATGTGATGATGTTTGTTTTGTAATTGTCACTCGATGCTAATTAGCTCTGAACAGGCATGGTCTTTAGCACCGCTGAAACTGTATTCTTATGTAGTTGTATGAACTCAATGGACAGCATTAAGGAAATCACCACAAGAAAAAATTGTCCTTTTCTATGTTAGTGGTGTATTTATTTTTTTTCATTCAGTAATCAGTAGAAAATATTGGAGATGCTGGCTGAGAATGATTTTACTTATATCACTAACAGTATTTTAAAAGTTGTTTAATCATATATGCTACAATATTTCTTTAAAACAAATACTAGCCCATAATATGTTCTTCCTGTTTTATCTTCATCCTCGTGGCTCTATATTGTAGTCTGTTAAATTCAATGTTGATATGTGATTGCAGTATATTCTAAGCACTCGCTGCGCGAGGAAGTTGTTTCCGATGGGATGGGGCAGCATCTACAAGCGGCGGGTGAAAGTTTTCACGTTGGCTATTGTAATCTACTTGGATTACAAGGTTAGTTTACGTCTTCATGACTGTTGTTTGATGATTGACTGAGTGATTAGGTCCATGCTGCTTTTCATCTTCATTTCATGTGGCAATTCCTCCCTTGTTTTTATGATGCTATATCACAGACCCTGCAAATGAGAGAGAAATGGACAAAGAAGTCAAAGAGGGCTGATCTTTGGGAGAAAGCTCATGAATGTAATGCTAAGCGTGTCCTCAAATTGATAGTGGAGTTAGAAGGGTTATGGGTTAAATTAGGACAGTATCTATCCACACGTGCTGATGTGCTTCCCCCAGCCTATATAGGCCTTCTAAGGCAGCTCCAAGACTCGCTCCCTCCACGCTCCTTAAAAGAGGTACCTTCACATGAGTCACACATATTATGAATTTTACATTGGAGTTGTATGATTACGTCAAGATTGAATCATATAGGCACTACCTTTTTCTTCCGTGTCAATGAAAAGCTAGTAAAAGAAATGCAAAAATGAAAAGGATTATTTCTTGGCCTCCAGTTTCTTATGATTTATAGCAAATTGTTATGATATAGACCCGCATAATCGACGTCGATTGATGATTAATGGACCCCATTCATTCAATGGATAACATCATAACATGAGAACGATACCACCTCAAATGTTCTAAACTTACGTGTTATAGGACAATCCGAATTATCATCTACCTGGGTCCATTTTGAATCTATTTACCCCTGGAGCCGATTGTTTCAATGAGTATTGTAATGCAATTCAAAAATTACCCTTGGTACTCCTTTTGATTTTGTGCATTAATGTCCGTATAACAGAATTCAAACCATCTCATTTTGTAACAATGTGTTGCTATGTTTTTGTGGTGTAATAGATGTTTGTTGTTGGCCATGAGAGTTAACTTTGACTAACTATCATCATCTCAGGATATGTTAAGAATGGAGAATATTATCTGGAGAGTGATTGCAGGCTTGCAGCACATGTATATATTTAACTAGGTAGGAATTAGGATCAAGAGCGGTTGTACAGTTCTTAGAATCAATTTGAATGTAAGGACATGCCAAAACCCTTGAGGTGGGAACCTAGAAAAATATCATCTCGTTCATATGAACACACAAACGTTTTATGATTTTACATATTCATTTGTTTCTGTGTATTTATGGGATTGACAATTTTTTATTAGCGTATGATGAGTTTTTCTGCTCAGGTTTGCCGGACTATAAACAGAGAATTGGGGAAATCCATGGAAGATCTCTTCTTTACTTTTGATAATATTCCACTGGCTACAGCATCGGTAAGACTCGGATACTAAAGTTACTGAATAGCGAAGAAGGAGAAACTTTGAATATTAACTGAACCTTAATGCATGTATTGGGTGATGGAATAAAGATCTTGAGCAGATGTAAAATGTTGTTTATTGTTTCAATATTCATATAAAAATATATGTTTACTTGTTTTTTGCAATTTACTTCCTTGGGGTGCATAACTCTAAAAGAAGGGATGTGATACATTAAATATAAGGGTTTAATTTGTACAGTACTTCATAGTGGAGGTTTCTACTTAAAGTCCAGGACAGTCATGATTGTTTGAAACTATTTGGATTGTTTTTCAACAAAGAACATATAAAAAAGATATATAACTGTTCCTAGGTGTTGGACCCTGATCATTCAGCCATTGTTTTCATGTTATTCTTTATTGAACATGTTAGAAGACATGTTTGTACCACATCGATTTGTTATTGTGTAAAAGTGTGGGTTGGGCACGCTCTCCCTTTGGGCTAGCTTTTGGGGATGAGTTCTACCCAAGCCAATTTGTCATGGTATTAGAGCACCCAGGTTTTGTATGTTTGGATGCATGGTGGGTCTTGGACCCAGCACATTTGGTTTGGCACGCTGCGTGTAAGGGCGGGTGTTAGACGACATGTTTGTCCTACATCGATTTGTTATTGGGTTGCTATTGTTGATAAGTGTGGGTTGGGCACTCCCTTTGAGCTATCATTTGGGGATGAGTTCTGCTCAAGCCCATTTATTAGAACACTAAGTTATAATTTGTTACAAGTTATGTTTGTCCCACACCGATTAGTTACTAGGTTGTTATTGTATATTCATGTGGATTAGGCACCCTCTCCCCTTGAGCTCGCTTTAGGGGATGAGTTCTATCCACGTTCATTTATCATGGTATCAGAACATTCGGGTTTGTTTGTTTGTTTTGATATGTTTGGTTTTGGACCCGACCCATTTGGTTTGGCATGCTGTGCGTGAGCAGAGCCGGTCGTAACCTTTCTTAGGCCCTGGGCCAAATGTAAGAAAAATGCTCCTCTGAAAAAAAAAAAAAATCCCCTCCTTTTCGTTCCATACGATGAAATTTATGATATTCCAACAATTACTTTGTCTATCCCATACATTGAGTAACTTTGGATGAATTAATAAGAATAATTGCCCCTCATTTTTGTTTATTTCAATGCAACAAGCTAAGGTAAATAAATAAGTTATAAGAAAATTTATATGAACCTAAAACAGAAGTATGAACACTATTATTTACAAAATTATATAATTATGTGTAAGTTGAATATTACATTTATATACATCCTTATAATTTTGTGGAGAAAATTAACTCTCCTTTATTTTAATGTAATTTTATTTAATAACAAACTCATATTATTTTACACTTTGTTACTTAATTAAATGTTTTTTTATTTAATGAGTTGTAAATTTTTTAGAATAAATAGTGATTATAATTTATAATACATAAACTATAAAGATACACAAAAAATAAAAATATAATCTAATAGGAATAGAAATAAAGATGGGTTGGTAGGTTCTCCTCTATTTCAGAAAGTTTTGTTCATTTTAATTGTTAGGCATTTATTTTTTTTTGTTGCAATTAATGTTTGTGGAAAACCTGCTTATATATTGATTTAAATGTCTTGGGGTTCTTTGGGAAAAAATGGATATGCTAAATGTAATTGGGCCCATCATGTATTGGGCTGGACACAATCATCACAATATCAAATTGTCAATACTTATTATTATTATTTGTATTATTAATTGGGCAAAAACAAAGGCCCCAATAATTGTGCCCCCTTCGAATTGGGCCCTGGGCCGTCGCCCAGGTCGCCCTGGGCCAGGGCCGGCCCTGCGCGTGAGGACGGGTGCTAGAAGTTATGTTTGTCCCACATCAATTAGTTACTGGGATGTTATATTATATAAGTGTGGGTTGGACATCGTCTCTCTTTAAGCTAGCTTTTTGGGATGAGTTCAACCCAAGTCTATTTATCATTGTGTAAGTAGAGAACATTTTTTAGATGACTCCAATTTTTCTCTCTTCAATTTTATTCAGATAGCTCAAGTTCATCGAGCGACTCTGAGTGATGGGCAGAAAGTTGTTGTTAAAGTTCAACACGATGGCATCAAGGAAATCATATTGGAGGTTGGTTTTGTTCTTCCTTTTGTTGAGGTTTCCAGATTTTATTTTTACTTCGGTGCATATTGCTCTGTAATTTTGTGTACAGGATTTGAAAAATGCTAAGTCAATAGTTGATTGGATTGCTTGGGCAGAACCACAATATAACTTCAATCCCATGATAGATGAATGGTGCAAAGAAGCGCCCAAGGAACTTGACTTCAACCATGAGGCTGGTATGCTTTTGATGATTCATCAAATTAGTTTGTAATGTGGTTCTGCACCCTTCGGCTCTTTGAGATTCTTTTCTTGGTTTCTGTAGAAAATACTCGGAAAGTTTCTAGGAACCTTGGCTGCAAAAGTAATAGTGATGGTAACAACCTAAATCGTGTGGACGTCTTAATTCCAGAAATTATTATGGTATTATCCTTTACTAATCCTTCCAGCTATAACACTTGGTCTGTGTAAATGCATTAAGTATTGTTTCCATGTTACGTGCAATATCCGGATGGTGGAAGACCTTCCCATTGATTTATAAATATATTTATGATTTTTCTAAGACCATATCTCAATTTCTTTCCGTAAGCGTGTAACTATCAACTAGTGCATACTGCACCATCACAGCAGGGCTTTACTGCTTATGTTATCTACTATACCAGATCAGAAAAGATCCATGCAAAATAAACAGCAATCAAAGTGTCCTATTCATATCACTGTGATGTTAGTTTATGCCTCCTCTTACATTTGTGTGAACATGAAGAAAGAGATCCGTCAGAAGGGACAGACATTAGTGGTTGGTCTCTATATTCGAAATTGTTTGTGGTGAACTCAAATCAATTTGAATGACCTGTAGCAGAGATAAAGATGTATATATTTCATGGCATTGAGAACTTTTTTGAAGTGGGATATCCACGAATTTTTAGAGTTTTCTTTTTGCAGTTATGAAGGATATAATATAATGCCTTTCCTGCTATTTGTTATATTTGTTAAAATCTACTTGTGCTGACGATATTTTCCAGATGGAACTGACCTTTCAAATTAAACTTCACCAAATGTGAAATGAATTTCTTTCCTCCTTTGCCATATCAAACTTCCCTCAATGATGCAATGGTTAATTACATGCTTTTCACAATCTCTATCGGTGTGCAGTCAACAGAGAGAGTACTCATTTTGGAATATATGGACGGCGTACGATTAAATGATTCTGAAGCTCTGCAAGCTTTAGGTGTAGACAAACAAAAACTTGTTGAGGAAATTACACGTGCGTATGCACACCAAATTTATGTTGATGGGTTCTTCAATGGTGACCCTCACCCTGGTATTTTCTTTCTTACCATATGTGTGTTGTTTTCAGTTTGATTTCTATCTTTTCACTGAATACGACCGTACACCACAAGGCATATTTGCTTATGTTTATATGAAACAAGTTATATCGTGTCCTGGATGTCTGGTGATATTAATGTAGGAAATTTCCTTGTGAGCAAGGATCCTCCACATCGTCCAATTTTGCTAGATTTTGGGCTCACTAAGGGGCTGTCATCTTCTATGAAACAAGCTTTAGCAAAAATGTTTCTGGCATCTGCTGAGGTTTGTGCACCTCCACTTGTATCTGTTTATAGTAAGGATAGATATTCATAGGAAATTAAAGTACTAAAATGAAGGTAGTATATGCTTTGATTCACCTAGCTGTTTCAGTCTAAAACTCCAGTTTTGTAATATTCATTCGAGAGATTCATTTAAAAAGAGGATTCCTAATGTGTGGATTTTAATCTTCACTCATTAGTTCTTACTCCTATCAGCCGCTTACATCTGAAGATATATATATGTATTATGTGAAGTGTGCGCTCACAAACTACTGCTTTTCACAAATGGGCAATGGGCATTCACATCAATACCAAATATTTCTTATATTAATTCCTCCCTCCCAGAAAGCTAGATGGACAGAATCCAGTAACATTCAGCCTGAGATTCAATAAACTATTTAACTACACTTCTGGGTCATACTTAGTTTTCATGTTATATCCTCAAAAGCCTATGACAACTATAGAATCTGTGTTTAATCATGGGACCAATATCTTCTATCTGCCTACTGGCATATTGTGCAGGATCCACAAACTTTCAGCTCTAATATCAACGGTTGAGGACCTAACTTTGGATTTCATAACAAAAATGATTTCAAAATATATGTTTGAGCCCACTCTCGGTCCAAGGCTTATGCTGATGCATCTTGAATCTGTGCATGTAAATTAGTTACCCCCTCCTTTCTCCCCCATAGACCAGTGGAACTTTTTCTCGTATGTGAACCTATTTATAATTATGGCTTGTTCCTAGTCGTTTTGACCGACTCAAGTCGTTTATCCCATGTTAATGGAAAATCTTCTTGCAGGGCGACCATGTGGCGTTGCTATCTTCTTTTGCAGAAATGGGACTTAAGCTGCGGTTAGACATTCCTGAGCAAGTGATGGAAATATCGAATGTGTTCTTCCGTAATTCAACCCCAGCAAATGAAGCTCAAGTAAGCTGGCACTTTTTTTTCCTTTTTAAATGTGAATCATGCTTCTATATATTTAAACTGACTGTACTATTTACAAAAGCAAAACGTGAAAGCTTTTGCTGAGCAAAGGAGCAAAAATATGAAGGTCCTTCAGGAGAAGATGAAACTCAATGAGAAAGAAGTAAAACGTTTTAATCCTGTAAGTACACAATATCCCCCATCGACTGAATCGTTGTTTCTAATATCATGAGAACTGAATACTTAAAAACATCTTTTTTAGGTTGATGCTTTTCCAGGCGATATCATTATATTCAGCAGAGTCATTAATCTCCTCAGAGGTATCCAATAAAAAAATTATAAATTAGTGTTTCCTATTGATGTATAAATTCCATGAACTTTAACAATTGCTATGAAAAACAGGGCTTTCAACTACATTGGACGTACGCATAGTCTACTTGGATATCATGAGACCATTTGCGGAATCTGTTTTACAATGGTAAATAGTGATTTTCATAATCTCATATAGATCCAGAAACTACTCGCTTCATTTACCCTTGTATATTTGTTCCAGCAATGTGGATATAGGGCCAGCATTTAATGCAAACTGGATCCATGATACTCCAGTCCTTTCTAGTGTTGAAGGCAAGCTGCGGAAGCTCTTAATTGAGCTCGGAAATGCTAATAAAGTTCTTGGAATCCAGGTTTGTTTCGACGTTTGACATTCATGTTTTGTTTATATCCTCTACTTGCTATAAGCATTTTGAGTTGATACATTCATGTTTTGTTTATATCCTCTACTTGCTATAAGCATTTTGAGTTGATAATAGAGACATAGAGAAGAAAATGCATCTTCTCCTTGTAGCTATTTTTATATATATCATGAAAGTTCTGAAGAACTAATCTTCCATGCTGCTTGCATCTTTTTTTTACATAGGTTTTGGTTGCTCGTGAAAAATGTTATGTTTTAGGTGATTCGCCGATACATGTAGCTTTTCACAATTCATATTCTATATGGAACAGTAGTCTCTTGGACTGAAATGCAATCTTTCAAAAGTACTAAAACATTTTTGGTTCAAACAAGCAATACTGAATCACCTGAAAATTACTGTTATTTACTGGACCAATGAAGGCAGATCTCTTTTCCTTCACTTACATAAGAGGCAAGTTGGCTTTTTGAATGCATATGTTTATGCGGCTTCTTGACATCTCGGCTTTGGTTTTGAATCTGGTAGGTGTGTGCCTATAAGGACGGTGAAGTAATTATTGACACTGCTGCTGGGGTGCTTGGAAGATATGATCCAAGACCAGTTCAGCCTGATAGTTTATTCCCTGTATTTTCTGTATCAAAAGGAATTACAGCAGGAATGGTTCATTGGCTGGTTGATAAGGGGTATGCATAATTGTTAAATGCTTCCTTTGTTTCATGGTAGTGTTCATCTCAATTTGAGGGTAATATTGCAGTTAAAGTTCCGTCATCGAGCACCCCTGTTTAATCATCTCATTATGTCTTAGTGTTATCTAATTGTTTTGATGGTGAAACATTGGAGATTTAGCATGGTTGGTGTGCTGTTTGACGAGTAGTTCTTGGGAAGGCTAAGTGGGACTGGCAATAGATGACATTTTATTTGAAGGATTAGCCATTTTTAACTTGATTCAGCAGTTCTGTTTGTTCTATATCCAGATTATTTTACTGTTGTGTTCAGGGGCCATAATTTGTAACATTATTTTTGAAAATTGTTAGTTTTCTTTTCTCTTGTTTTNGTTGATATATTTTGTAGAGTATCTTAAGTGATTCTCGAAACTTTTCACAGAACAATTATAGAAAATGAGCTTATAAGCATTTTTTTGGTAGTGGAAATGCAAACATAACTTGGTTGGGATTAGAGAGATAATATTCACACTCTGAAGTCCATGTCTCAGGAAGCTGAAGCTTGAGGACAAAGTTGCAAATATTTGGCCAGAATTTGGATCCAGTGGTAAAGATCAAATAAAGGTGATATCTTGGCTCCAAAGTTTGTACCAGTTTACTTTGGTTTATTGTTATTATTTTGAGTAATGCTATTTGAGTAACCCAAGTTGTTATCCACGTGGGCTCTATAGCATTACTCTATTATTTTTTCAATTTGTAGTTGTTTGGAAGTATCAAACCAGATAGGGGTTAAACCTCTGTGGCTATTGAAGAGTTAATATGCTTATAAAGTATAAAACAAAATGATTATGATTATGATTATGATTATGATTATGATGATGATGATAACATGTAAACATGTAACTTGAATTTTCATACATCCAAGGATTGTAACTGATTCAAATAAATGTTGTAGTACTTGGTCACCAGCTTCAGGCAATTAGAATTTTTTAAACATAACTTATCTTAACCAATTTGGTTAGATATGTCAAAAACATTTTTCCTTATTGATTTCCTATGCTCCAGGTCCATCATGTGCTTAATCACACATCTGGTTTGCACAATGCCTTGGCCAGTCTTACTCGTGAAAACCCTCTGCTCATGACTGATTGGGATCAGTGTTTGGATTGCCTTACAATGACGGCACCAGAGACTGAACCTGGCCATGAGCAGCTGTACCATTATTTGTCTTTTGGCTGGTTGTGTGGTGGTATTATTGAGGTATCAAGGATCTTACTCTTGCATATTAGGTTCAAGTAGTTTAGGTGGCCAGGAAGTACGTACATGTAGCTTTAATTGAACCTCTATTTATGTTGTGAGCTATATGCTCATTTTCATTGTGCAGCATGCATCAAGAAAGAAGTTTCAGGACATTCTCGAAGAAGCATTTATTAGACCTCTTCATATAGATGGCGAGCTATACATTGGAATTCCTCCAGGCATGTTTTCTTTAACTTTTTGCAGATTAGTTTTCTGCTCACCCATTCTTCTACTCATGGTCTCATTTGTTCTGGTTTGTAGACTTATGGAATTGAAAAATGAAAAATAAATAAGGTTTGAGACATTTGCAGGACCCAGAGAGTTTTGAAAATTGTAAAAGCCAACCATGAAATTGGACTCGGTAAGGTGGTAACTGAAATAATTCACATACATGACGGAGTAAAGTGCGAGTAGAGTCATACATTAAGAGTTTTCTTTTTCCTTATATCTACAAGCATGGGTGAGTATCCCAAATCTGAGAGAGAGATTCTAAATTATCTCAACTAATGATAAACAATATTGATTCATATTCTACAAGGCAAACAATTTTGTAGGGAAACTCACAGAATTACCCTTGAGATTTGACCAAATTACAGAAAATAGCTTAGAACTCCTAGAACTACGTCAACAAAAAATTCCTGATGTTTGATTTAGGTTCAAATTGAAGAGGCTATCCAAAATATTTTAATAAACGTGGGGTCCATGGGCAGTTGGGGTTGGGAAACGCCTATTGCTTACGAAAATATAATTAGAGGGAATATATACGATACAGAGATTATATATGAGTCCCTTATGGGGAGCCATCTATGAATTGATGTATTGACATCTGTCAGAAGTGGCGTTTATTCTAGAGACACGTATCAATACACTGTTTCTGAATAATTGTGGACTTCATAAGCCATGCTATCCGATAGCTCCACAGCAGAACTGATATAATATGTGATTAATTAAGCACATAATTGTGTGTTTAAATTATTCCCACCAGGCGTCGAGTCCCGGCTTGCGACCCTCACGTCTGACATGGACGACATCAAGAAACTTGCTGATATCAGCACACGGCGGGACCTACCATCCACCTTCCAATCCCAAATCCAGAACGTGTCCCAGATGGCATCCACTCTCCCAGCCTTGTTTAACACGCTTAATGCCCGCCGGGCCATAATCCCAGCTGCCAATGCCCACTGTTCGGCCCGTGCCCTGGCCCGTTACTATGCAGCCCTAGTTGACCAGGGCACAATCCCCCCTCCACATTCCTCTTCGACCCAGCCCATGCTTGGCACCCACCCCCACACCCCCAAATTCCCATCCCCAAAGCCCGAGAAAAAAAAGGAAAAGAAATCCAAAAATCATGGAAAGAATTACACCGAAGTCCCAACCAGCGATATTGACGGATTTGGCCAAGGCACGAGAAATGATAAGATTTTTAGTAATGGAAATATTCACGATGCATTTACGGGGAGTGGAGAGTACGAGAGTTTGGCGCTTGCAGGTCGGGAGTTTGGGCTTGGGTTCAAGAGGTCTTATTCGGGGGATGGTGAGTTGATAGGGTTCGGGCACTCGGGTATGGGTGGGTCGACTGGGTACTGTGATGTGAAGAACAGGTTTGCTATTGCTGTGACTCTGAATAAAATGAACTTGGGAGGTGTGACTGCAAAGGTGGTGCAGTTGGTTTGTTCGGAGCTTGATATTCCTTTGCCAGCGGATTTTTACAGGTTTACGGAGAGGCTAACGAGTGATGATGAGTCGAATGTAGCTGTACCTTTGATAAATTAGGTGAAAGCTTATATAGAATTCTTTTCCCTTGGTTTTGCAAACACAGACAGTGCTGGGAAATTATATTGTAATTGCACCACAGAATAACGATGGAGGCCGCCCGAATTAGTTGTTGCATTGTTGATTTGGTAATGTCTGTAATTTCTTAATCATTTGTTATTGTTATTCCTTTTGTTTTCGGTTATGGAGTTCGATAGAATGAGTATTGAATAAGGATTTGAAGAGAGAAAAGTTGAAATTTTTTAAGAAAAATATTTTTCTGTCAAATACCAGAAACATGTGATAGTGAAGTACTTGTGCCGTATCACAGTCATTTCCCCCAATTTTTGAGTTGTCCAATAACATTTCCCATCATATCGTATCCACTTTGCATTTGGAGGATTTTTTGGCCTTTGTTATGCTGTCTAAAGTGGAGGTACTTGAAAGTGACTGAAACCATCCCAGTTTTCGTGTTCTTAGGGAAACTTTAATGGAAGTTTATGGAGGTTTGTAAACTCAAACCTCACATGTTTAACTATTATATGTGGCAGGTTTAAGGTTTAAAAAATTGAAACCGTATTCTGAATACGAACTTCTTAAAAACCTGACAAATAGTAAAGGAATAAAGAGTGAGAGAAAGAAAAGGAGTGGAGCGTGGAGAATGACTCTTGAATTTCAAATAGAAATAACACACTTTTACTTTGATGTTATTTGGAGAATGTTTGTTGGCGTTCGTTCTATTTCGAAAAATTATGTTTACATCGGTACATAATTAACACTCTATAACTATAAATAATGCAATATGATTATATATACTTACATTATTTTTTATATGTATTTATGATGAATATATTAGTATATTATTAATTAAAAGCCCTAGATCTTAATCTTTTGACTTGGAAGGAACAAAGCCCTTTGATCGGAAGAATGAGGGGAATTGATAAAAGGATCACTTCTAGGAGTGGAATAAATATAATTATATTATTTTTTATATGTATTTTAAAAAATATAAAAATATATTAATTAAAAGTAAGTAGAAAATATGTGAAACCCATAAAAAGGAGGTTTATTGTTATTGGAGGTCTATGAATGTAGGAGCAAGAATGATATTTAGATGATGCGACATGTTGTGAAGTGTAAAAAAAAGGTTATTATTATTGGAGGTTATGAATGTAAGAATGATATTTAGATGATGTGACATGTTAGAAAGTGTAAAAAAAGATTTATGGAATTTCATCATTCTTACTCCTACAGTCCTACAGCAGGCTATTGTAAACAATAAATGAATAACTTTTATTATAAATGGTATTCTTGTGGTATTCTTTGATCGAGTCATTTTTCAGTTCACTTTTATTATTATTTCTCATCTTTTTATCGTACTGAAGTGGATTGTAAACAGAAACTTCTTTCCAGTCAAATCTCACTTGTGATCTGAATATTTCCATGATAAACGANCTATTTTTTCTCCTTAAGAAACCAGTGTTGGCAGACACACTCACCACAGAATACACTTAAATCTAACTTGTCACACAGCAGGCTATTGGGTTCTATTCCCTCTATAGCTCCTCAATTTGCTGCTATCAACTTCTTTTGCAGTTCTCCTGAATCCTGATGGGCCCGCCGTCCGATTACTCGTTGATTTCGTTTTTCCAAACTTAAGCGCCACGATTGGCTTTATATACAACATTCCCGGATTATGCCTTTTCTCTTTAGGCAGTGCCTTTAGCTGCGGCAACCAGTACGCAACAAAGTCGCCATCAGGATCATAGTTTTGGGCCTGCATTACATATCATATCAGAACTCAATCGGCTGCAAGTCATCTGTTCATATCAACATGGGGCTTATAACATTTATCTTCCAAGAAAATTGAAAATGCAAACATTTCCTCTTTTAACAGAAAATGATTCTCAACATTACTTGTTTAGGAATGCTGAAATAACGATCCTCTCTCGGGTCATTCCCAACACCTAACAAAAAAAACAAAGAGTGATAACTTTAAACCATAAGGGGAATAGAGTATGTATAACTATTCACGATCTCTAGGTAATTAATTACCTGCTCCATAGGTCCAATTTCCATAATTGGAACAAGGGTCATAATCCAGAAGGCATGTCTCAAACCATTCGGCTCCCATTCTCCAGTCAATGCCCATATCACGAACAAGAAATGAACACACAATCTGTCGAAAAAAATTTCAACACTAAATTTCCTGAAGAAAAAAAAAAAAACACAATAAAGTTATTTAATTGTTTTTTAAATTCACCTGCCGCCCACGGTTTGACATAAAGCCAGTAGCCGATAATTCTTTCATATTTGCATCAACCAGAGGATACCTAAAGAGAATCAATTCGCAGAAACTTTGAAAAGGATTTACAGAATTTTCAATGTTGCATATTGGAAAAAGAATATATATATCAGTAAATGATAAAGACTTTAAACACTGTATACCCAGTTTGACCTTCCCTCCAGGCATCGAAGAGTGCTTGGTTTTGGCTCCAATTGAGCTTTACATTCCGTGGACCGCCTGACAAAACGGGATAGAGTTTATTTAAAAGGATCGTGTTACTTAAAAGTGCCATAAAAGTGCCAGGTGATTAAATTTTCATAAGACTATAATATCAGTTCATTGACCTGAGTGAAAAATAGAGTTTCCTTGCTTGATGGATAGAAACCTGAAGTAGTCCCTCCATATAAGTTCAAACAACACCCTGGAGGAAAGAACAAAAAAAAAATAGAAGAAAAAAGTTTTTAGCTTTCATGGATAAGCCTGTCTCATACTTAACAGATATTTATACTAACAACATTGTGATTTTCAGAAAGTTATCAGACTATCTAAATTTCGTAATTATATGATTAGAATAGGAACGCCTTTTTAACGATGTTCTAAATAGGGGATGAGACAAAACGTACCAATAGGTAGAGTCATTTGCTTCTCTCTGCTTTTCATATCTTTTCACCTGAATAAGTTGAAATTTCATTAGTATCAGAGTTTCATAAACAAATCATGTTTCTTGATGTGGTACCAGATGAGAATACAAAAGTATCTTTAAACCTCTTCGTAAATAAAACGGGGTGAAAGGCTTCCAGAGGCAAGCCAAGGAGAAAATTTTGTTGAGTAGTCAGGTCCCAACATTCCATTTCGGGACACTTTATACGTCCGCAAGAGGTCCTACAGATGCTTACAGAAATGAGCAAAATCATTCAGCAATGTTTAACCTCGCAATCATCATTTGCAGAAAATTTTCGGAGTGAAACATAGTAAAACAGCTTCTGTATAGGCATGGATTTATTCTTTTAGCAGCCAAAGTTGAAATACCAAGACGACATTTCACCTTCTTCCAGAAGTATTCGTGTACTCTACTCAATGCTGCAGTTTCACCTCCTGTAAAAGACATTCCTTTACCAACCTGTAGCAACAAATACAGACACAAAATTATTAGCTCCACAAAACTAGGGTCTATCATAAGGGATAAATGATGTATAGATACAAATACAAACATGCCTTTGCACGTTGAACACCAAGTGAAGAAATGTCGGGAATGCATCCCCAATCTTTGACGTCTGGCGTGGGCCCAAGCGATGCTGGTACCTTAATGGAACTCCTAATTACAGACTTTGACTCGACTGACTGCATATTTGATAATTGCAAAACTAATATTATAGTTAAAAAGTGGAAAACAAAACAGAATCTCTTATAACAAGTATATTATGTGCATTCAGACTTGTGACAGTTAAGAAAGTACCTTTCGGAACTGAGTATAAATGTCAGGCAAGGACGTGCAGTCAAACGGAAGGTCATAAATATGGTACATGGTTGTACCCCATATCAGTTCCAGTTTAGAAGACTCAACTTTTTTCAAGTTTTTGGAAACACGTCTCTCAACATTTAGCTCTTCACTGCATGTTTCTTTCTGGGAGTAAATCTGTTATTTGATCAATAAAATTCCATTAACAAATAAGAGATATATATAAATGTTCCCAATTAAAACATAAAAGTTCAGAGTTTTATACAGTGTGGGCTCCGTATGCTTTTGCAAGAGAAGGAAGAATTTGCTCGGGCTTGCCGTGCTGTATTAAGAGGTTAAGACCCCTCTTCATCAGATTTCTTTTTAAGTCTGTCAAGCACTCTAAAACAAATTGTGTTCTCAAAGCTGCCCAAAAAAAAAAAAAGAAATATTTCAATTTGTAACAAAGTAAACCGACTGCTGAATCCAATCCACATAACCACAGAGTTCAAAAACACATAGAAAGAGATTGTTGACTGTAGGCTTATAATAAAGAAAATGGTAACTATTCTAGTGTTTTATAGAGGCATTGTGCTACTAATTCTGCATAAATTATTCAGAATGTATAAACACAAAAAATTAACTTGCACGCACAAATGAAGCACTTTCAGATGTTATTCACTACACAACTCTTGATTCTGCCTTCAAAAGCCGCAGTCTACACAAAAAACCCCGAGATTTTCCAAAAAAAAGGTAGCACTTGCACTTATATTAATAACAAACAGAACTGGTCAGATCAGACGGAATTCAAGCAAAACAATAAATTGTAAACCCAGCTTCACATTGAACAATATCACAGTACCACATTGTTCTGTCCATGAAATTCTTTCAAGAGAAAATCAAACTGCAGCAAAATAAAATAGTGATCACACTACAATCAATCACAGTCTAACCCAGAAAAAATAATATAAAAGCTAAAATTGAAAGTAGAGTAACAAGGTATCATATCTGACCATTTTCTNAAAAAAAAAAAAAAGAAAAGATAAAAGAAATTCGGGTACCTCCAGTTTTGGGTAAACCAAAGTAATATGTGGTGGACCCGAAAATTCTGGGGTCGAGACAATAAACGGGCAAGACAGCTTCGGACGAAGCCCACGCCCTGAGCAAAACCTCGTTGTCCAAAATCCTCAAATCGTTCCTGAACCAAACAATGGAGACCCCTTTCCCGTTTTTACTCGAGGAGGAATCATCAAAACTGTATCTTTTCAGGGTCTGCTCGAATACCCGCTCCGATTCCTCCGGGTCGAGACCCGGGACGTGGTGCACAGTCTGCGCAGCTCGTGCTGCGTTCGAGGGATTTAGCATTGTGCTGGAAAATGGTGAAAGAAATGTGGGATTGAGTGAGAGTAGCTTTGTTGATGAGAGAAACAGAGGGATTACGGCGGGACGTGAAATTATGGTGAGATTATGGATCATCGTCTGCTTTCATTAACTTTCTTTTCTCGGGTATTATAAGGAACTTTTGAGTTAGTTGGGGTTTTGGATCGTTATTAACAGTTGGGAAGTTGACGCGTGGGCTACCGAACGAGCTGTTGACGTGGCGGCTTCATAGCCAAACCCTCCGA